AAAATTCAGATATTTTTCATATATATTTAGCCAGGTGTGCCGCTATTTTCTCGTGTGCTCTAAAGTGTGCCGTTGCCTAAAAACGGTTGAGAACCACCGATTTAACGTGTAGCTCTCATTGACAATATCTATGGACGTTGTAGCAAATTGATATAATACTTGTTTGGCTTTTTTATGTATCATATTCTTAATGTTTTTAAATCCTCTAAATATCATTTACACTAAAATAAAAAAAAAGACAAAAATCTCTCCATACTTATAACTAGATTGAATAATTAGACGGTGCAAGAGAACTGAAAGAAACAAAATACAAAATATAAGAATTCAGAAACGAAGCAACGAGACAATCTAAAAATAAACATTTTAGATGTATCTATAATTTCTGATTATTCTATAAATGTTTCAACTGAAAACTTTGAATTTATTTACCTAAAAAAAAATATATCTGCAAATGTTCAGCTCGTCTTAGAAGCTGGCAATGCAAAGCGCTAGACAAATATGTTTAGTTCTTATCTGAAATTTGTACAAATTGTAAACGATCCAGCGTGTATATAACAGGTGTTTAGATAGCATTACTCTTTGTTTTAACAAACATACGTCCCTCACTGGGTTAATCAGTCAAACCCCGAGGGGTATAATCATCTAGCATATATATATATATATATATATATATATATATATATATACATTAAATCCTATACCACTCTGACGATTTGCTATACAGGTTGTGTTGTGCGACGTGTGGTATTTAGATTATCATGATATTGTTTGCATTAAAAGAGTTTGGTTAGATACTTTGCTTGTGGCTCCCTACGACCTCTCTTTAATATGCGATTGTGAAGCTCGCGTACCTTATAGTAAGATTATGTTCAAATATAAACACAGAAGATAAACATGCGGACAACACAGATAAACAACACAGGGACACTGAAAGTAACATATAATAAAAGTACTATCAAATCAAGTATATCTGGACTGGAGACCGACCATACAATCCCAGATGGGCAGTGGTATTGGCTTCAACTTAACGGAAAGCAATATAACAAAAATAGTTTTGGGGCAAAACCAAAGCACAAAATGGGAGCATTTCCCAAACGTTGTCTTATTCTAGTACACATTAAAGAAAACTAATTAAATCTTTTTAATTTGTAGATATGGGGCAAACCATAGATACAAAGGCTAAAACAATGTTTTGAAGTTGTTTAAAGAATTCAAGTGAAAATTCGACCAACATCAGTAGTTAAAATATAAGTGTAATAGATGTGTCCTGAAAACAGAGACTGCAGTCTGAGATATGACGAATTCAAAAGTATTGAAGTGTTCCGATGATAATCAGATACTTCGTCAAAAGGGCATATTGAAAGCCCCTTATTTTAAAACCTCTTCATCAGTTGAAACTTTGGTATTAATTTCAATATTTTTTAAAGCATATATCCCTATTAAATAGCCAATTCATTTGAAAAGTATATACATGTAGTTTAAAAATAGTTTGACCGGGATGGGAATTAGCTATCACAACGGGGGGTAGGCAACATGCAGAGCTGATGGAATTGTTTCTGATATTTTATCTTGAACACTTGTATATAAAGAAGTATATCACTATAGAGACCGACGGGGTGTCAGTCAGATCAAAACATGTAAACAAGGTACCACGTTGAGTCTGAGCTTGTTTAGAATTTAAGTAAATGATCTGTGTGATACTACCTGGGGTAAAACAACTCTTATTAAATGATGTTTGAGGGTAATGAGAGTTGTTGATGGGGAAGGGGGCAGAGTCCATCTACATGATGTTTGAATTTCATTTCAAATCTTGATTTAAAAACTGTGTTCGTCAGAGAGAGAGAGAGAGCATTTCCATACTAACCAATAATTCCTGTATGAGAGAAAGAGGAGAGAGAGAGAGAGAGAGTAATTCGTCCATCTTTAAAACATACCACCTCTTGCAATGTAATGTTTCTGGAAAAGTTGGACAACGCAATAGAACGCTGTAACCTAAATGGCATAATAATATAACAATGGTTTAAGCCCCATTCGAACAGCTATGCAAACTCTTCATCTCAACCTTGCAGGCGCCATATCAGTCGAGAACAACCAAGCTTGACAAATTCTGCAGCTTTTTCAAGACCAGCGCCGGGATTCAATGCAAGTGCCCCACGATAAGTTGTACTAAGCGTTCTTGTAAGTGAAGGAGTAAGTATACTCTGTCTAGGGTAGACAGTCGTCTATTCCGTTGCAGAACTAGAATGACAGTTCTGAGTCTAGTTTCAGAAAGCGATACTGCTATAATGGCCGGAAGGTAACATTCGAACAGTAGCTACCATCAGTTATCAGGCGGTATCATTGCTTTGGGAATCCGGGTGGAGTCAGAATTTTGGCTTAAATAGTTAAAAATTAACGAGTTTACTAGTTAAAACAAGTTAAAAAGAAATGAAATGAAATGAAATGGAGTTTAACGTCCTACTGTTATGCTCCTAACCTGGGCTAATGAAGACGGGCATACGCCATACAGTGTGCTATGAGGGAAATTTTGCCCGGACAGCGGCACTACGGCCTACTCTTATATCGAATTCCAACTGTCAAGGGATCTTTTACGTGCACGCCAATGTGTACACGGGACCTCGGTTTTTCGTCCCATCCGAACGACTAGACAGCTTTCCTTGTCAGCCCCTCCGTCCTGCATCACTGACAAGGGAGAACCACGCCGGAAAATCTGGATGAACTTTCTCGGCCAATGCAGGGATCGAACACCCGACCTCCAGGCTAGCGAGCGAGCTAGCGTCTTACCCACTTAGCCACGTGATCCCCCAAGTTAAAAAGTCAAAATTACTATAGAATGAAAACACATAGAAAATGAGTCTACAAATGAAAGATATTCATGTGTAACCAACATGACACTACAGAAATGTCCAATATTTTTAATCATCTTTAATATTTTCCTGCAAGAAAACGATTGCAGATGCTGTTTCTTTACATAAAGCCATTCGTCTCTGTTCGTATACGAGTCCATAAGTTGAAAATAATCGTACTGAACCCACAAAGAGCTAGATTTCTTTGTTAAAACTTTAACTTTAATTTAACTAGTTAATTTTGTTTTAACTGGGTAACCAGTTTAATCCACCCGGCCTAATTGGGAATAACATGCATTTTCGATTCAGGTCCTTTTTCGAACATCAAGAGAATACTTGTCGAAACGTCGTGCTATATGTGTATAAACCAGTGATTGTATTCCATATGAATTGTGTTGTATTTTTCCAATGGTAAAATATCGGTACCACTGCCAAATATTCCATTTGTCAGTAGCAATAGCATATGGCCGCTGAAATCAACAATAGATAAGCTTGTTGTTTAACAGAGTACGAAGCAGTGAAGGAATTCATCAAAATATCTTTTCAGATCTAAATGTCTTAATTATACACGTGTAAATAGTATCAAGATAACAATTAACGCCATAATAGCGAGGTGTGTCCGCGAAATCTTTAAAACTTGATGCTATTATCATCAGATTGAACATATGTTGGATTTAGTTGACAATAATACTTCAGCTACTCTAGACGACTTTAGTACAATCGTAGATGAGAGTTGTCGATGATGTTTGTTGGGTTTTAGCAACTTTCACACGAACAACAACCGCTGAACCCACGATACATTCAATGACTGAGTGTGCCCCGGGGTTCTGTTCTTCAGTAAATAAAGGCGACTTCACCGTCAGGGGTAATTATAGCTACGCAATCACCTTTTGTGGTTTCTGAAACTAAAGAATGACAAAAATACAATGACGTGATAACCGACGCATTCAAGAGGCCCAGATGGTGCTTTTAATTTCTTTTAAATAAATCGTTTTCTTAACTTGTGATTATAAACATGGCGGCTCTTCTTAACCCACCTCTGCTCTTTTCAAGCGTAATAAGTAATTACACCTCCAGTCGTCCATATAACCTTTTCTATTTTTTGCAGTTGATCAATTGGTGACAATTAATTGTCACATTAAACCTAATATTAAACAAACTAAATTACGTGACAAGTTCGTTACACGGTGGATTGGGTGACATATAATTGTGTATTAACAATGTTTATTTATTGACTGCATTTGTAAGAAAAGCTTAGATTCCCGGTCGATCACAAGTAGTATTAGAAGAGATCGTTTACTGCAAGGGATGTCCCCTTCTTTATTCTTTCCGCCCCATACCTGTGTAAATTTAGTGAAATGTTATTGTGTATCAACGGTGTCTGTTTATTTAGTGAATTTGTAAGGACTGATTAGGTCCCCATTTAATTACAGGTACAGGGCCGTAAACAGCTAAAAAGGATTGGATAATGGGGGGACGCAGATATGGAAACAGGATATTGACCGGATAGTAGCAAACCATAGGTCGCGAGAAAGGCAGTTGATACTGGACAGATTCCTCTCGGCCCCAAACGAGACTGGATTCATTGCATCTTATTGAGGGGAAGGGGTGGAACACACCATCTTTATCTATCAAATAAACCATATCCTGGTGTAAATAACTAACATCATGGGAATATTTGCTTTACTGAATTCATAACACGGACTATATTCGCTTAGTCCTTCAAAGTAAAATGACATATTTACTAGCATTGTATGTGAACGTGTAATGACAATATAATAATGTTTACTTATTAAATACATATTTTCTTAACCTATACGGATATGTTTACTGCATGCTATTCACTGCCGCGGAATGATTATTCATTATAGGCTAGTGTAATGTCTATTATTTGGCTCCAGCAAAATGCTATGGTGTGTGGCTAACTGTAGCAGCAATCGAAGAACTAACTACAGCATTGAATGCCAGAATACATTAAACCGATGTACATGATTTATATGACTGTTGTCAAACGTAATCTATATTTTTCATAATCTTCGCCATAATCCGGTAATTTCTTCCTGTAACTCTTATGTCGTGTGATGTCTGTCTGACCATAAATTAGTCTGCAGCAGAACGCTGTGCTCTAAAATACCCCGGGAACCCCTTTAACACACAGAAGCGTTCTCGATCTCACGAGGGACGAACACGCGCACGCGGAAAATAAAGCGATGAAATGATTGGCTAGTTCTGCCGCCTCTCAAATCATTGACAACTAACTGAGTGCTAGAGATTTCCAATTGATGCTGGCGAAAGTCAAATTGTGGATCGGAAAAGAAAAAGTCAACGATGTTTCAATAGACGAAGTTATTGTAAAGGATGTTTACATTGTTTTAGTGGAGTTGGGGTTGAATTGTGTGCGTATCGGAGATTATTAAACGTATGTGTTGATTCCCACGAGTTGTTGAAGAAGGAAGCGTAGTTGATCGGGAGTCAATTTTTATAATTATATTTTTACTACTTCAAGGATGACGTACCTAATAGTGACAGTGTTCGTTTTATTACGAGGTAAGTACATAAGTTACTTTACTACACGAGTTGTCTTTTCTTTAATTCACGTCTGTTATCGAATGTCAGATCCAATGACGATTAGTCAAAGTTGTTTCAAACTTTTTAGTCTTCGTTTCGCTTTGTTTTTTGTTTATGTTTTTGCGAGTGCCAAGTTTTTAGCACGTTTGCATTACTGCAACTCTTGGAAGTTAGACAAAATACATGCAGTTTATTTTTTTTATGCGTTGTACAACACATGCACACATACATTGAAAAAACAATTAAAAGCTAGATAATTTGAGAACAACTTGCTGATGTATGTTTTATGAGAAAATCGATTCACATATACCATTCGTCTTTTTGAAAAAAGAGAGTACGACTTACGGAATTGGTGCACCACTTAATGCCCTATATGTTGTCTATGTAAGGTTATTTTAGTTACATGTATACATAATGTACCGTCATATGATACCTCAGATTTATTGACTACATCTTTTAAGGATCAGAGAGATAAGTTTGCTGAACAAGACACTATAACCTAGTGACATACGTCCACATAGTTAACTAGAGTACTGAACGGGGCATATTTAGCATATATAACAAATTTACTAAACTCATCATAAACTATATACATTGCATTTAACCGCAGATAACCTTCTGCTGATTCAAGTCCTTTCGTACATATAGGCATGTTCACAGTAAGTGTTAGTTGGGGTCTTTTTAGATGGAACAAAAGTCAATAAAATTAGTGTGTGGGGAGGGGGATAGGCGTCTATAGAGCTTGGTCACGAAAAATACCACCCACCCGGTCACCCACTGCAAGTTTCTCCCAAAACATGTTTTCTGGCAGTGTAAAATTAGGCACATAAAAGTTTTCTTTATAAAACAAATCATAACTTTATTCACTCAATCAGATTTTTCAATTTCTTTGAAGTTAATATCAAGAGCTCTCAAAATACAGGAGGGATAAAAACATATCGGTTTATTTGTAAAAAAAATATGAACTAATCTGTACATAAGAACTTATTCGATATGTAATATTTTAAAATTCCTTTGAAGCCGACGTTAAAAGTATGAAGTTGTATCTCCCAAGTGTTCTCATCTAAGCATTTGAACTCTTAAAGGGAATGTCCCATTTGTACACAAAATCTCAGAAACGGGTCGTTTAGGTACAAAATTCGGTAAATCTAAACGACAAGTGTAAAGATGTAGCTTATTTAACTCGTGTGGGCTTAAAGTGTCTATTATAGCCCTTACCTTACTAATCACTGTTATAAAACACCACAATAAACTGTAAGCTGTATTACTCGTTGGAAAACAGCACATACCCTGCAAACCGATAGTGTGGCGGGAAATGTCACGGGGACTGAGCGTGAGTTGTAGATAGGTTTGTCCAAGCACAAGATGCTCGTCTCCAACTCGATTTGACGACTTGGCCTGCTTTGAAATCTTGTTGTTGCAAATCTTCGGATTTCTTGGTACGAAAATACTGGGCTCTGTAGGGCCCTACCTACATAATTAAACAAATGAATTCATTGAAATATATCTGGGATGTCTCCTTTAAATTTGTATTTATGCGCCTTTTGGACTGTGATAATATCTTCAATTCATAAAAAGCGTAAAAGTTAACATCAATAATAAGAACTCATTCTATATTATAAAATTTCTTTGAAGTTGATATCAAGAGCTCTCTAATATTATAGGTCAAGAACCCAATCTGTTCATTTCTGAGAGTTTCTGAAACATTAAAGTTGATATTAGAAACTCTCTAATATCATATATGAAAGACCCAATCCAATCTGTTCTGTTTGTAATAATATATTGATCAATCACAGACTACCTGTGGAGAGTGAATGAGACAATGATTAGATCCATTGTATACTTACCTATACATTCGTTTACCTAAACCTGAAATCCTGGAAAGTTTTTATTTAAAGGGGTGGTCTCGGGTAAAGATAATGGCTTTTGATCATACTATTAGTATCAATTACTATGGTTAACAATTTCCATTATGGCGATGCCCTTAATTGCTCTATTAATTTCCTTGTTCTGCGTTATAGTTCACTTTATACTTGTATAATACAATCCGGAGGTGGGGCGGGGTGTAAATGATACTAACTTTTACTAACGCTTTCCTCTTATATATGTTTGGAAGTGGTGCACGATGAAGGGCCTGGCAAGGGACGTTCCAATGGGACGAAAAACTGAGGTACTGTGTACACATTGGCGTGCACGTAAACAGAAGCCTTGACAGTTGGGAGTTCGATAAAAGAGAAGGCCGTAGTGCCACTATCCGGGAAAAATTAGACATATTACGAAATAGCACAAATAGCTTGTCTGAAAAGGCCAGTCTTCAAACTATCCAGCCGTTTACGTATCCCATTTAAAAATTCCAGGTTTCTTGGAGTCTTCAAAACAAATTTAACCAGTTGGATGTACTCAAATTAACCCGCGGTGATTCATTGTAGTAAGTTAATAAACCTATTTCTGAACTCAGAATAAGACACAAACACATAGCAACAACAATCCTAATACCAGATTAGCTTATATACGTTAAAAGGAACTCGGTAAATAAGTATAAACCAGCTTTTGGGGCGAGTTTAAAAATGATGACGTCCCAACATGTACCTTTAACATTAATTATTCTACTCGTAATTCATATATTGCACACAAGTCAATTCCATGGACAGTCGCAATCTATCTATCTATCTATCTGTTGGTGGTTTAACGTCTACTTCCAATATAGTGATACCACAGATAAGTTCTAATTGTATAACGGCCTACTTTGTGTCAACGATTGTTTAATTGCTAATCAATATGTCTCACTGATATATGTTTTGTTTAACATCACCTATATTATTGATACCTATATAAAGTTGTACGCAATATCAAAAGGAGTTTGATGTCACAATGCCAAACATCTTAACAGACCTAGTAAAATTCAAGTACCGTCCACACTATTATTGAACTAAAACCTCAAAGCCATTAATTACTTTCTAATCAATAGTTCATTCGTTAGCCTCGTTATTCTTTATTTACTAAAACAACATATCGTAGATAAGGACATTTTCCAGAAGCAATGGTAACGAGCATTATTAGCTCATAACCACTGCGATATTTGATAGCATTTGTGGGTGATTGTTTCCATTCGTCTCCTCTGTTCGATTACAGACTAATCAAAATAGTCGATACAATCACTATTGGGCTTCTAGAGCCATGAACATACTCTGCCAGATGTACGAAACCCGTCATTACCTGTAGACGAAGCTGTATGGTAAAAATGATATCGGGGCAATCCTGGCAATGGCCTTCTGCAGAGTTACCAGTCATGAAGTGTGTAGTACTGCCATGATTCTTATCAGCGTATATTCTTTTAAAACAATCGATTTTAGAATTAGGTTGTCATTTTGTTTCGTATTTTTTTAAAAATTTTACATTAGATAACCGGCTTTCTTTTGCCAGTAACAGTTCTGCATTATATCAACCAGTCACACCAGCTATAACCGTAAATCCACTAGAACACTCACCAATTTATAGGTTTGTATGTTTATAACTGCCCAGAAACGAAGTCCTGTATATCAATACAGACAATTTGATTAGTCAATAAATTCACGTTATCCGAAAATAGTTTTCAGAAAAGATATGACAAATGTCAATGTAGTACAACATAAAATACAAATAAAATACAAAACGAAACATAATTTATTTTAATCGGATTGCTTTTGAACGTCAAAACGCAAGTTTTTTGATCTCAACAGTTGATTTTTAAAAGTGTACATACCTGCATTCTTCAAAGAAACGATCTTTACCTTTACAAATGGTTCAACAGAATTATCTGTCGATGGCTTTTAATAACATTTCCACACGCTACAGGTCGTCGCCAAGACGCTAGTAGGACTTTTCACCACAGTTAGAACAATTAATGAAATTCTTCAGGTGTTTTGCTTTCCTATAGCTTCAGGAATCATGTTCAGACAGGTATTTAATTGGAATGTACGTCAAGATATTATTAATATCAACAATTTTGTGAGACGGCACAATATTATGGCTTTGAGTCATTGGAAACACTTTAATATTATAAGTTCTTTTATTTGTCGATAATATTAATTAAATATTTCAACATGCCAAAATATAGGCTAAATATATAGTTTAAATTAATACCATTCATAAGATCGTTTCAGAAATTATTCCAACCTTTGAATCTAACTGAAGCTCTGGCCCAAAAGAACTAAAAAAACATATGTATAAAAACGCATCTTTAAATGGATAACTGCACACGACAACACAGGCGGAAGGCATGGCATAAAAAAGCAAACCAATCTAAATCAAATACAAATTGAAATGTAATTAAACAAAAACTTAACTTTACCGGCCGGACAGTTCACTGAGCACGACGCAAACAGCATTCCTGGAAATGTTACGAAAATGATGTTGACTTGTGCCACTGAATTAATATATTTCGCAAGCACGAATCAGCAACTTCCTGATTTCGAAAACAAGCGACAGGTCGTCCATAAGTTTATTCTGTTTTGTTTGCTGTGAAACTTTTGTGGTGTCACTGAAAATAGCCTTTTATAATGGCTCTTTGCATTGCTGCTGTTGTTTGGTTTCTAACGTTATTCGACAATTACGTAGGTTTTTGTTCCTATTTAAAACTTAAAATTGTTAGCTATTATGCAAATTGCAAATTTATCCGGTGTTCTAATAAGAGTAAATATATCCCGCCTCGTGCACGACATGCGACATAACATAACTTTTATCTAAAAAGATCTAACCTTCGATAAATATAAAACCAAGGTGAAAAATAGTCTTAAAAATGCACAACCTGAAACACAAACTGTTTCGACAGCGTTTGTCATTTTATGAGGGTATCCGTCACCTTCTGTTCATAAACAAAGATCTACATGTGTTTTTCTTATTGACAGTTCGGTCATTCAGGTGTTTGTTTATAAACAGCGAATGACAGATGCCCCATAAAGTCACAGATGAAATATAAATGATTTATATTTCGGGTTGTG